TTTTCATCATCTTATATATATTTAACTACTTATTCATTTTATATTCTAATTCTTAGTTTGATATTCTTATAATAACTACGTAGTTAGATATATAAATTGAACTTTTATCTTATTATTATCATGTCTCTAGATTAAGCCATGATAAAAAGTAATATTTTGCTGACTTTTTAAATAAAAATCAGAAAAAAAACTAATATTTTAAGAGAGACTTATAGATATCATTAAAATATCTTCCATACTAAACTTTTATAAAATTCAATTAAAGCTTTAATTGAGTTTAACTAAATCTTGATTAAGCTCTATTAAGCTTATTTAAGAATTAATTAAAGCTCAACTTATAAGATGTTTTATAAATATATACTTTAGTTTTATTTAATCTTTATTCTTAGCTATACTTAAATAGTTTTATTATTTAACCTATAATTTATAAAGATTAAATATAGAGATTTTAGATTATAAATTTTTTATTTTTCATAAATACTTTTTCTATTATATTTAGACAAACTTTGATGAGGGTATAATAAGAAGATATTTAATATAATAAAAAAAAATCAAATTAACAAAGTTTTCAGAGTGCTTAGATGTATTTTTTCTTTATAATAATTTAATAAAAACTTTTAAAAACTGCTAAAATTATTTTAATATAATTAATCTCTTACTCATTTAATTTTTATATTTTTTAGATTAAATACTATGAATTTATGATGAAAATTATTGATAAATATTTACATTTTAAAAAAATTCTTATTTTAAAAATCAATCTTTTAAATTTTATTTTAATATAATAAAAATTTAAAAATTGATCAATTTTAGTAAAAGTTTTTAAATAAAAATATTTCTAAATTAAAATTTTAAAAATTAATTAAAATTTTAAAAAAAATATTTAATTGATATTTATTAGTTAAATTAATAAAATAATTAAATTCTAATTTAACTATATAGATCTAATTAATTATATTTTAAATAAATAAATAAATAAATAAATAAATAAATAAATAATAATAATAATAATAATAATAATAATAATAATATGATTTAATTAGATAGATATTATAATTATTTATAAATATATTTTAAATAAATAAATAAATAAATTATTATTATTATATATATTTAATAAATATAACTTATTTATAATTTTTTTTAAATTATTATATATAATCTCTTATTATATTTAGTTATAGTAATAACTTTAAAAAATATATAAAATTTTATTATAAAATCACTTTCATCAAAGTTTTAAATATAATTATAAAATTTTATATTTTTAAATAGTTATATATATTATTTTTAATTATTATTTTATAATTTTTAAATTATTCCACTTCATCTGTTAATAAAATTCATCATAATTATAATATATATATGGTTGAAAATAATATTATATAAATTTAAATATTTAATTAACTTTAAAAATAATGATAAAATTAAAAATATATATTTGAAGTGAAATTTATATCATTTCATATAGAAATTTTAATTAAAATTAAAAAATTTTACTTATTTATATTTAATAATTATTTAAGAAAAGTTGCTTCTTTAAAGTATATCAATTTATAATTATTTATATGTATATTTAAAAATGATTTGATGTTAACATGTTATTTATACAGAATAATTTTAAAAATCTTATATATCTTTTAAGCTTTTGTTTTTGATATACATTTTAAAATTTTTATGAAGCAATGACCCCAACTATATATGAGATTTCTTGAGATAAAGACATTTTGAAGAAAAGTGTAAAGAAATGATGTGTTGAAGATAGTTGAGTTAAATATTTGATGATTTTCAAAGAGAATCTGCCACTTTGTGATGTTTGCTGCTTAGTGGTGAAGTACATTATGTATCTTCTTTTCTTACCCTGGACTCCTCTCGCATGAGGAAAGGCAACATTGGGCGTAGAATCGTATGATTAATTAACACTTGCAGAGAAGGGAAGCTGAAGTATGTTTAGTCTGTTTCTCCTCAACTGGTTGCTGGCAAGAGTTTTCAATGCACTTGAGGTCATTGTTAATGGAATGATTATCCACATTAACTTGATCGAAGAGAATTTTAATACAATCAAGATTTCTGGCGGCAACTTTGATCAACAGTAGTTGATATCTTAATGATGTAAGTAAGCAATGCTGCGTATGGACCCTGTTCAAGAGCAACTAGACCGTAATCTACACGGTAAATACCAATACACGTACCCGTTCAACGCTTTGGGTGAGCCGCGTAATCGATTTCCAGATTTCCGGCCCGTAGTAACTAGCTATATTATGAAGTTTCCGTTTGGCGAGGACGAGGGCATGCTTCTTCAAGAATGAATCTACTTCAAAAGCAAATATATCCCCGTTCACTATTAAATCTCCATAACGATAATAAAAAGGGTCTCCATTCTGTAACTGTTAATGATGTTTGCTAAATTCCATTTCAAGCCATGGGTCCATGGCTAAAATTAAATGTATGTAGTTACAGAGACCTAGCACACTGCCGGTCAAAATATAATAGCCCTCTTTTAGAAACATGGAATAGGTCAACCCCCAAGAAGCTATCTAAACCAGTTTTGGACGAGCAACACCACCACGATTGCGTGCGTCGAAATCCGGGTGCCTGATTGGATGTTTTCAAACGAGGTTTGTTGAAACTAGTTAGTCCTTTAGCGATGAACTCTGAGTTAACTGCCTAATAGAGGATGGGTTCTGTATTTTTAGCTTTGTGGTGGTTCGGGTATTAAAAAAATAAAAATAAAATAAAGAAATAAAGAAAGAAAAATAAATAAATAAAAAGAAAACATTGTAAAATAAATAATGTCGATGAAGCGTTCGGGGAACCAATCATAGATAGGTTCTGGTAGATGACCAGGCCTTGGGCCAAAGAAGTGGAATATCGTTTGAACGTTTAATTCATCAAAGATTGCGAATCTGAATTAGGCAGGATATACGTATATACGGATGTAATGTGCACATATCGAGCCAAGAGAAGAAGCGCTAAGAAAGTGTACGGAGCACTTGATTAGACCCATCTGTCGATGACCCACTAAGAGAGAAACGACTCAGTAATGCACACTGAGGAGGTTAGAAATGCTTCTCGCTGTCATCTATCAAGTACAATTAGAGATTAAATAATATATAAAAACAAAGGGTTTGAAAGTTTTGTTTTCATACAACATATCCAATCAATAGCAATTATGTTTCTTCAGTATTATTATCAAGTGACTACGGAGTAGTATATAAGAGTAATATAAAATATAGATCTCAATATAAATTAATTTTAAAGATGAACAGATTTGGTTGGGTTAGAGAACACAGAAACGAGCTTACTAATTTACTAATCAACTAGTTAACTAACTAACTAGTTAGTTAACTAATTTGTTAACTAGGTAGTTAGTAGTCTTCAAGTTTTCCTCGCGGCGGGTACGAGTGGCGACTTGCAGCTGGCCAAATCAGGGGGCAGAAGGATGATTACCTCATCCCTGGGAGCGATCTGGAGCTGACGACGCCTGCCAAGCCGAGCTAGGCTGGAAGAGGTTAAGGGGCTGCCTTCCAAGGTGGCACCACGCAGGTGGATTCGTCACTGCCCACGCCATTACGACGCCAAAAGAAAGGAACAGAAGATACCAGCGACACCAGAGACACCACACACCCCCCGTGAACAACGTAGGTGACAACGGAAAAGACATGGACGAAAGGGAATGTTTGGTGATGGTGGTGATAGTGGTGATGGTAGTGGTGATTGATGAAGAAAGGTTCTTATGAAAAATGTCAGTGAGCGGTTAGCTATTCAAGAGGTTTGCCGAGTCGATCCTAGCTGGAAAGGGATACCTCTAAAAGTAACCGAAGCGTAAAACTGTTCCCCCGTAATACCACGTATGTTACCATACCAGAGATACCATTACGCTGCACTTTCCTCCCTTCCATCCTCAATTCCAACCTCCACCTTCCACCTTACACCATTATCATCATCTTCTTCCTTTGTCTTCCTCTTCCTCTTCTTCCTCTTCCTCCTCATCCTCCTCATCCTCCTCTTCCTCTTCTTCTTCTTTAACCTCACCAACTTCTCCCCCCCCACCCACCATCGTCGACTCCCCGTCTTCATCAACTGGCTTCTTTTCTCTCTGGGGCTGACTATATAACCACATTCTTTCCCTCCCAAAGTGTGTACCGATTCTCCCCTTGACATACCCACACATCTACCAACTGCCAAGACAACCAACTCAGCTGTGCTGGGACTCCCTTAAGACACTTGTGCAAGTATAACCATAATTAACTGACTTGGACTGCCGTGAATCTCTTCCGCTCCAGTATCTCTCTCTTTGGCTTCTTCCCTCCGAATCAGCAGAATGAAAACTTACTATCACGCGAACGACGTCTTTCATCGCATTGAACATATCTCCATGTATCTCCGTTTGTGACCATCCGTCTCTGATCCACCAAATCAATATCTTGGGCCTGATTCTCGACATCTTTCTGATCCTCCTCAACCCGCTTTAACTTCGCCCATCGTACATCTCTGTCGTATCAATCCCAACTGCATCTAAAAACCCTCCCTCACCTTCGTCTCCAATACTAGGAGCACACCCTGAACCCCCTCCTCTTTCCTGGTGGGTGCTGACAGTCGCTGCCAAGAACTGCCGCCTACTGTCCGGCCATGACTGATCATCCTCATCGTTCTGGAGCCCGGGCTTCCTGCCCACCTCGTCCTTCTACCTCGTCCTCTAAAGCTTATGATGCCTCGCAACTCACAAGACAGTTCGAGCAATTACTGCGTACCCGCCGTCTGAACTCCTTGCAGGAACGCTCCCGCTCCAGAACTGCTTCTCCTTCTCCAGCTCCCTCACACAGACTCATGCATAACTATCAATCTTACTCACAACGAACTCATCCACAACCACAATCATCACAACAACCCTCACAATCACCCTCGCAGCCACCATCATACTCTCTTCGAAGTCTCCCTCTTGTCCCAGCCCCTCCTCAGGACCCTACCTCCTTCAAATTCCGCAATCTGCTCCATGTCTTGTCCGTCACACCAACTAAATATGAAAACCCGGGCTTGCTCGATGAAGCCCTGGCTGTAATCCCTTTGGATAGGCTGTATGCTGAAGCAGAGGAGGAGTGTCAAATATTACAGGCTGAGGCTGCCAGTATGGGTGAGAATGTGAAACCCCAGTGGGGTTACCAAGATTGTGTCATCAAGGCCCTGCTAAGGTATGTTTTATTCAACATTTTCCTCGCTTATATTCAAATCCAATATCAATTATTTTAACTTAAAACGCCTTGTAGGTGGTTCAAACGTTCCTTCTTCCAATTCGTCAATAACCCCCCTTGCTCCGTCTGCTACAGCCCTACCATCGCCCAAGGGATGACCCCTCCTACCCCTGACGAAACTGCTCGCGGCGCAACTCGAGTTGAACTTTATCGATGCTCAGATCCAGGTTGTGGAGCAAATGAGAGATTCCCCCGCTATTCAGATGTTTGGGCCCTGTTGCAGTCACGACGGGGACGGGTGGGTGAATGGGCCAACTGCTTTTCGATGTTGTGCAGGGCTGTGGGTGGTCGAGTCAGATGGGTCTGGAATTCTGAGGACTACGTGTGGACTGAAGTGTATTCGGAACATCAAAAGAGGTGGATTCACGTCGATGCTTGCGAAGAGGCCTGGGATAATCCCCGGCTATATACTGAAGGTATGTTCCGTTTTCGTGGGCACCTTAAGTTAGTAGCCGTAATTAATCGCAATTTTTTTTATTTTTATTTATTTATTTTTTTTGCTATAGGGTGGAATCGCAAAATGGCATATTGTATTGCATTCTCAATCGACGGCGCAACCGACGTTACACGACGATATGTTCGCAACCCAGCAAAACACGGCATATCCCGTACACGTGCTCCCGAGGAGGTTCTACTCTGGGTCATCCATGAAATACGACGAATGCGACGGGATAATCTTTCCAAAGCGGAGCGTCGACGACTGATGAAGGAGGATGAACGGGAGGAGCGGGAACTTCGTGGATACATGGCTCAGGCGATTGCGACGGAAATCAACAACTTGTTCCCCAATGAACAGCTCAATACCAACACCAGCATCAATGGCAACAGCGCATCGTCTGATGAAACAAAGATTCCCGTAGCGTCCCGGAATGGAACGGTGGAATGGGTAAATCCTACCGCCAGCCAGACTGGGCAGCCCAATCCTGATCGATCGAATCAGGGTCGATAGCGAAAATACTGGCCACTACCACCCCCTCCTATCTATAGCAGGCGTCCATGCCTGGAACGATCCTAACTATAGTCGAATATCAACACCACCAACCATGACGACGAACGACCACGCCTTTTAACGAACCCTCCGAGTCTATCCCTCTTGAAACAACCCTTTGAATTTACCGATACTCCTCCCACGCAATACTTGAAAGAAGATAACGGCGTTCTTTTCACCTCTAGTTTTTCATCCTCAAAGGTGATGGGTGTCCTATATATCAACCCTGACGCTCTTCGACTATCCTGCGCTTATCGTTTTATCACTGCTAGATGCATTGATACATCCACTACAACTCCACACTTAACATTTATATTTCCAAACTGAATGTTCCTACAACATGTGCTCTCTCATTCCTTATCTCATTAGGTATCACAACTCTGCCGAAGGTATTCGGTAATAGTCTATCAGCATTTGATTGTTTTAATGCCGTCATCTATTAGCCACATTTTTATATATTGTGTTTTAACCAGCTTCTTTTTTTTTTATTAGCACAACCCTCCTCTTTACCTATATTCTTGCATTTCAT